GTTGAGTCTCTGCCAGGTTTTGGTATCAGGATGATGTTGGTCTCATAAAATGATTTGGGAAGGATTTCCTCTTTTTGGATTATTTGGAATAGTTTCAGAAGAAATGGTACCAGCTCCTCTTTGTGTGTCTGGTAGAATTCGGCTGTGAACCCATCTGGACCTGGAATTTTTTTTTGTGTGGTAGGCTCTTAATTCCTGCCTCAACTTCAGACCTTGTTATTGGTCTATTCATAGTTTTGGCTTCCTCCTGGTTTAGGCTTGGGAGGACACAGGTGTCCAGGAATTTATCCATTTCTTCCAGGTTTACTAGTTTATGTGCATAGAGTTGTTTGTAATATTCTCTGATGATGGTTTGAATTTCTCTGGAATCTGTGGTGATTTCCCCTTTATCGTTTTTTATTGCATCTATTTTGTTATTCTCTCTTTTCTTTTTTATCAGTCTGGCTAGTGGTCTATTTTGTTGATCTTTTCAAAAAACTAGCTCTTGGATTCATTGATTTTTTTGAAGGGTTTTTTTTTGTCTCTATCTCCTTCAGTTCTGCTCTGAACTTAGTTATTTCTTGTCTTCTGCTAGGTTTTGAGTTTTTTTTATCTTGCTCCTCTAGCTCTTTCAATTTTGATGATAGGGTGTCAATTTTGGATATCTCCACTCTTCTCATGTGGGCAATTATTGCTATATATTTTCCTCTAGAGACTGCTTTAAATGTGTCCTAGAGATTCTGTTACGTTGTGTCTTCGTTCTCATTGGTTTTGAAGAACTTCTTTATTTCTGCCTTCATTTCATTGTTTATCCAGTCAACATTCAAGAGCCAGTTGTTCACTTTCCACGAAGCTATGTGGTTCTGAGTTAGTTTCTGAATTCTGAGTTCTAACTTGATTGCACTGTGGTCTGAGAGACTGTTTGTTATGATTTCAGTTGTTTTACATTTGCTTTCTTCCAATGTGCTTTACTTCCAATTATATGGTCAATTTTAGAGTAGGTGTGATGTGGTGCTGAGAAGAATATATATTCGGTGGATTTGGGGTGGAGAGTTCTGTAAATGTCTATCAGGTTTGCATGTTCCAGGTCTGAGTTCAAGTCCTGGATATCCTTGTTAATTTTCTGTCTGGTTGATCTGTCTAATATTGACAGTGGAGTGTTAAAGTCTCCCACTATTATTGTGTGGGAGTCTAAGTCTCTTTGTAAGTCATTAAGAACTTGCCTTATATATCTGGGTGCTCCTGTATTGGGTCCATATATGTTTAGAATTGTTAGCTCTTCTTGTTGTATCGATCCTTTTACCATTATGTAATGTCATTCTTTGTCTCGTTTGATCTTTGTTGCTTTAAAGTCTATTTTATCAGAGACGAGAATTGCAACTCCTGCTTTTTTTTTTCTCTCTCTCTATTTGCTTGGTAAATCTTCCTCCATCCCTTTATTTTGAGCCTTTGTGTATCCTTGCATGTGAGATGGGTTTCCTGGATACAGCACAGCGATGGATTTTGGATTTTTATCCAATTTGCCAGTCTGTGTCTTTTGATTGGTGCACTTAGCCCATTTACATTTAGGGTTAATATTGTTATGTGTGAATTTGATACTGCCATTTTGATGCTAGCTGGCTGTTTTGCCCGTTAGTTGATGCAGATTCTTCATTTTGTTGATGCTCTTTAGCATTTGATATGTTTTTGGAATGGCTGGTACTGGTTGTTCCTTTCTATGTGTAGTGCCTCTTTCAGGAGCTCTTGTAAAGCAGGCCTGGTGGTGATAAAATCTCTGAGTACTTGCTTGTTCACAAAGAATTTTATTTTCCCTTCACTTCTGAAGCTCAGTTTGGCTGGATATGAAATTCTGGGTTGAAAGTTCTTTTCTTTAAGGATGTTGAATATTGGCCCCCACTCTCTTCTGGCTTGTAGGGTTTCTGCCAAGAGATCTGCTGTGAGTCTGATGGGCTTCCCTTTGAGGGTGACCCGACCTTCCTCTCTGGCTGCCTTTAGCATTTTCTCCTTCATTTCAACCCTGGTGAATCTGACGATTATGTGCCTTGGTGTTGCTCTTCTTGTGGAATATCTTTGTGGTTTTCTCTACATTTCCTGGACTTGAATATTGGCCTGCCTTGCTAGGTTGGGGAAATTTTCCTGGATAATGTCCTGAAGAGTATTTTTCAGCTTGGATTCATTCTCTTTGTCACATTCAGGTACACCTATCAAAAGTAGATTAGGTCTCGTCACATAGTCCCATATTTCTTGGAGACTTTGTTCATTCCTTTTTGTGCTTTTTTCTCTAATCTTGGCTTCTCATTTTATTTTATTGAGTTGATCTTTGACTTCTGATATCCTTTCTTCTGCCTGATCAATTCGGCTGTTGAAACTTGTGCATGCTTCGCGAAGTTCTCGTGTTGTGTTTTTCAGCTCCATCAATTCACTCATATTCCTCTCTAAGTTGTCCATTCCTGTTTTCATTTCCTCAAATCTTTTTTCAAGGTTCTTAGTTTCTTTGCATTGATTTAGAACATGTTCTTTTAGCTCACAGAAGTTTCTCATTACCCACCTTCTGAAGTCTGATTTTGTCATTTCATCACACTCATTCTCCACCCAGCTTTGTTTCCTTGCTGGTGAGGAGTTGTAGTTTCTTGTAGGAGGCGAGGTGTTCTGGTTTCGGGTGTTTTCCTCCTTTTTGCATTGGTTTCTTCCCATCTTTGTGGATTTATCCACCTGTTGTCTGAGTAGTTGATGATTTTCTGATTGGGTCTCTGAGTGGACGTCCAGATTGTTGATGATGAAGTATTTCCATTTCTTAGTTTTTCTTCTAACAGTCTGGTCCCTCTGCTGTAGGACTGCTGAGGTCCACTCCAGGCCCTGCTTGCCTGGGGAACTCCTGTAGCAGCTGCAGAACCATAAGGGTTGCTACCAGATTCTTCTTCTGCTATCTTTGTCCCTGAATGATGCATGCCAGATGTCAGTCTGATCAGTCCTTTGTGAGGTGACTCTTTGGATATATGGGGGTCAGGGAGCTGCTTGAGGAGACAGTCTGTACTTTATAGGAGCTCAAGTGCTGAGCTGTGAGCTCCATTGTTCATTCAGGGCTGCTAGGCAGGTACATTTAAGTCTGCAGCAGCAGAACTCATAAAGCCCCTTTTTTTTTTCCTGAGGTGCTCTGTCCCGGGGAGTTAGGGCTTTATTTATGAGTATCCGTTGCACTGTCCTGCCCAGCGAGGAGGCAGTCTAGTCATTGCCTGCCTGTAGTGGCTATGCTGAGCTGCCGTGGGCTCCGCCCTGTTGCCATGGGCTCCGCCTTGTTGCTGTGGGCTCTGCCCTGCTGTTGTGGGCTCCGCCCTGCTGCCGTGAGCTCTGCCCTGCTGTCGCGGGCTCTGCCCTGCTGCCGTGTGTAATTCCCTGTAGTCCTGTTTATATGGGTGTGGTTAGAACTGCGGTGGCAATGGTGGCCTGCCTCTGTAATGGAGGACTCTCTCTGTTATGGCGGGTTGCCTCAGTAACAGCAGGCTGCGTCCTCAATGGCAGAGTACCTCCGTAGGGGTCGAGTGCCTCAGTAATGGCGGACGCCCCTCCCCCACTGAGCTGCACTGTCCTGGGTTCAGCTGTGCTTGCTGTGAAACTCTCAACCCTGAGCGTTTCCAATTGCTGTTTTGTTTGTTTTTGTGGGGGTGGGACCCGACGAGCCTGATCACCTGGCTCCCTGCCTCAGAGCACTTTTTTTCTAAGTTGAACAGTTGACTCTCTCCCAGGTGTTCCAGTCACCTGCTCAAAGGCCGCTGGGATTTATGTCATTTCCCATGCAGTGACCCACTGCGCCGGCTGAAACAACGTTGCTGCCCAGGAATCTCCTGGCCTGGCTTTCTGTTTAAGTCCTGTTTAATCAGATGAATGTGCTAATCTGCCTTCCAAAATCTCCAATTGCTGGTTTAAGAGGGCAACCAAACCAGTGTATTTTGTACGGAGTGCGGCTGCGCTGCGGCCCCGGCCCAAACTGCCATGCTGGAGGCCCATGGGGCTCCTACACCTGGAAATCTCCTGGTCTGTGGGCAATAAGGATCCATCTGGAAATGCGGTGTCCACTCATTCTCTGTGCTTTCATTGGGAGCTGCAATCCTGAGTTGGTCCTACAGTGCCATCTTCCTTACTCCTAAACATTTATTTTTATAGACATAGGTTTTCATTTCTCTTGGGCAAATACCTAGAAGTGGGATTTTGAGTTTGTATTGTATGGGTATGTTTAATTTTTTTTTTTTCTTTAAGATGGAATCTTGCTCTTATTGCCCAGGCTGGAGTGCAATGGTGCAATTTCGGCTCACTGCAACCTCTGCCTCCTGGGTTCAAGTGATTACCTTGCCTCATCTTCCTGAGTAGCTGGGATTACAGGTGTCCACCACCACGCCCAGCTACTTTTTATATTTTTAGTAGAGATGGGGTTTCACCATATTGGCCAGGCTGGTCTTGAACTCCTGACCTCAGGTGATCCACTTGCCTTGGCCATATGTTTAATTTTTAAGAAGCTGCCAAATTGTTTTCCAAGGTGGCTGTACCATTTTTCATTTCCACCAGCAATATTTGAGGTTTACAATTGCTCCACACTTTGGTAGTACTCGACATTGTCAGGTTTTTTTTTTTTTTTTTTAAGTATCTCATGATGGTTTTACTTTGCATGTCCTTAATGACTAATTGTGTTGAGCATTTTTTCATGTGCTTTTTAGCCATACATATATCTTCTTTGGTGAAGTGTGTGTTCAGAACTTTTGCCATTTAAAAAATTGGATTGCTTGTTTTCTTATTTTTGAATATTGAGCATTCTTTATAAATTTTATATACAAGTCTTTGTCAGAAGTATGATTTGCAAATATTTTATTGCAATCTGTGGTTTGCTTTTGGATTCTCTTGAAAGTATCATTTGCAAAACAAAAGTTTTAAATTGTCATAAAGTTAAAATTGTCATTTTTTTCTTTTATGGATAATACCTAGGGTCATGATTATTTTCTCCTGTATTTCTTCTAGAAGTACATTGTACATTTAGGTTTATGATCCTTTTTTTTTTTTTGAGACAGGGTCTCACTCTATCACCCAGGCAACCAGGCTGGAATGCAGAAGTATGGTCATTGCTCATTTCAGTCTCAAGCTCCTGGGCTCAAAGGATCCTCCTACCTCAGCCTCAAGGTAACTGGACTACAGGCACACACCACCACACCTAGCTAATTATTTATTTTTTTAGAGACAGGATCTGGCTTTGTTGCCCAGTCTGGTCTCAAACTGCTGGCCTCAAGTGATTCTCCTACCTCAGCCTCCTAAATTGTTGGGATTACAGGCATGAGCCACTGCATCCAGCCTATGATCCATCTTGAATTAATTATATATGTATATATATTTGTTTTATTGAGATATAAATCACATACCATAATATTCACCACTTTAAATTACATATTTTATTGGTCTTTAATATATTCATAAAGTTGTGCAACCATCACCACTATCTAATTCTAGGGCATTTTATTCCCATGCTCATTTGCTGGGATTCCTAGTTCCTCCTCCTCTCAGCCCTAAGCAACTATTTTATTTTGTCTCTGTAGATTCTTTCACTTAGCATAATAGTTTCAAGATTCATCTATTATGTAGCATGCATCAGTACTTCATGACTTTTTATGGATGAATAATATTTCATTGTATGAATATGCCCATTTTACTTATTCATTCATCATTCAATGGACATTTGGGTTGTTTTCGCTTTTTGACTATTATGAATGATACTTCTGTGAATATTCATACACATGTTTTTGAGTACACATATGTTTTTAATTATCTTGGGTATCTATCTAGGAGTGTTGAGTTAATTTTTGTATAAGGTATGAGGTATGGGTTGAGGTTCATTACTTTAGAACCATTTGTTGAAATGACCATTTTTTCTCCATTGAATTGCCTTTTGCCTTTGCACATCTGTTCAAAAATCAGCTGACTCTATTTGCCTGGGTCTATTTCTAGACTCTGTTCTGTGTCATTGATTTACATGTCTATCTTTTTGCCAACACCACACTGTATTTTTAGTGACAGAGCATTGCTCTGTTGCCCAGGCTAGAGTGTATTGGCACAATCAGCTTACTCATTGCTGCCTTGAACTCTCAAGATCAAGTGGTTCTCCTGCCTCAGCCTTCTAAAGTAGCTGGGATTACAGGTGCAAGGCACAGCACCCAGCTCCACACTATCTTGATTACTGCAGCTTTCAAGTAAGTCTTGAAATTGGGTGGTTTGAATTCTTTAACATTATTTCTACTTTTTGAAATTGTTTTGGCTATTCTGCATCTAGAATATCCAAATTATAATCTATATTTCTATAAATTACAGAAATTGATAGATTCTAAAATTCTATACATTTTAGAATCAATTTGTTCTAGTGACAATAAAAAGTATATGAGATTTTGATTAAGATTGCAATGAATCTATAGATCAATTTTGGGGGAATTGTCATCTTAATAATTTGATTCTTTTAATCCATAAACATGGCATATTTTTCCCTTTATTTGAATTTCTCCTTTGATTTCTTTTGTCAGTATTTCATACTTTTCAACATACAGATCCTGCACATATTTTGTTAGATTTATAACTAAATCCTTCATTTTGGGGGTGCTATTATAAATGGTATTGCTTTTTTTCCCTTTTTTCTATTTTGAGATAGGGTCTCACTCTGTCACCTGGGCTGGAGTGCAGTGGTGTGATCGTATAACTCCTGTAGTCAAGTGATCCTCTCCTTGGCCTCCCTAAATGCTGGATTTAAAGGCATGAGCCATCATGCCTGACTGCAGTATTGCTTTTATTAGGTTGGTGCAAAAGCGATTGTGGTTTTTGCCATTGAAAGTAATGGCAAGAACATCAATTGCTTTTGTATCGCACTAATAAAAATTGGAATTCCAATGTTCATTGCTAGTATATAGAAATACAGTCGATTTTTTGTATATTTGCCCTGCATCTTATGACCTTGCTAAAGTCACTTGCTATTAGTTCTAAGAGTTTTTTTTTTTCGGTAGATTCTTTGGAATTTTCTATATAGACAACATATTCATTTTGGTTTTAGAGACACCTTTACCATTCCCTCTGTTTGTGTCCTCTCTGATTTCGTTGAGCAGTGGCTTGTAGCTCTCCTTGAAGAGGTCTCTTACATTCCTTGTGAGTTGTATTCCAAGGTATTTTATTCTTTTTGTAGCAATTGTGAATGGCAGTTTGTTCTTGATTTGGCTTTCTTTAAGTCTGTTATTGGTGTAGACGAATGCTTGTGATTTTTGCACATTGATTTTATATCCTGAGACTTTGCTGAAGTTGCTTATCAGTTTCAGGAGTTTTTGGGCTGAGGCGATGGGGTCTTCTAGGTATACTATCATGTCGTCTGCAAATAGAGACAATTTGGCTTCCACCTTTCCTATTTGAATACCCTTTATTTCTTTTTCTTGCCTGATTGCTCTGGCTAGAACTTCCAGTACTATATTGAATAGGAGTGGTGAGAGAGGGCATCCTTGTCTAGTGCCGGATTTCAAAGGGAATGCTTCCAGTTTTTGCCCATTCAGTATGATATTGGCTGTTGGTTTGTCATAAATAGCTTTTATTACTTTGAGATACGTTCCATCGATACTGAGTTTATTGAGGGTTTTTAGCATAAAGGGCTGTTGTATTTTGTCAAATGCCTTCTCTGCGTCAATTGAGATAATCATGTGGTTTTTGTTTTTGGTTCTGTTTATGTGGTGAATTACGTTTATAGACTTGCGTATGTTGAACCAGTCTTGCATTCCTGGGATGAATCCTACTTGATCGTGATGAATAAGTTTTTTGATTTGCTGTTGCAATCGGCTTGCCAGTATTTTATTGAAGATTTTTGCATCTATGTTCATCATGGATATTGGCCTGAAGTTTTCTTTTCTTGTTGGGTCTCTGCCGGGTTTTGGTATCAGGATGATGTTGGTCTCATAAAATGATTTGGGAAGGATTCCCTCTTTTTGGATTATTTGGAATAGTTTCAGAAGGAATGGTACCAGCTCCTCTTTGTGTGTCTGGTAGAATTCGGCTGTCAAACCTTTACCATTCCTTTAGCTCTTTATTGTTTTCTGAATATCCATGATCTTAATCTGGTCATTTTCCTTCTGCCTGAGATCTATCTTTCTTCCCTTTCCTCCTTTCTTTTCTTTCCCTTTCTTTCCTCATTTCTTTTCTTTTCTTTTCCTTCCTTCCTTCCTTCATTTGTTTTTTCTCTCTCTCTCTCTCTTTCTGTGTGCTAATTATAAATGCTTCAATTTTTGTTTGGCTAGAAATGTCTTTATTTTTCATTTATTTTTGAAAGATATTTTTGCAAAATATGTAATGATGAGTTGGCAATTATTTAATTCAGGACTTTAAAGATATCTTTCAGTGTTCTGGCCTTCAATTTTAGAGAAGTAAGTTATTGCTTCTACTTTGATGGCAGTCTTTCTTTTTTGTTCTTACTTTTAAAATGTTTATTATTTTTAGTTGACACATAATTAATTGTACATATTTATGGGGTACAGTCTGAATTTTTTTTTCCAGATGAAATCTTGCCCTGTAGGCCAGGATGGAGTACAGTGGTGCTATCTCAGCTCACTGCAACCTCTGCCCGCTGGGTTCAAGCAATTCTCCTGTCTCTACCTCCCCAGTAGCTGGGATTACAGGCGCCCACCACCACACCTGCCTCAGCCTCCCAAATTTTTGGGGTTACAAGCGTGAGCCCTTGTATGATAGTTTTGATATGTGTATACAATGTGTGATGATCAAATCATGACAATTAGCATTCCATCACTTTAAACATTTACCATGTCTTTATGTTAGGAACATTCAAAATTCACTTTTCTAGCTATTTGAAAATAGACAACAAATTGTTGTTAATTATGGTCACCCTGTAGTGCTTCAGAACTCAACTTATTCCTCCTGTCTAGCTCTACTTTGATATCTGTTAACCAACTTTTGGCTATTTCCACTACCCCTGACCTCCCCTGACCTAGGTCCCCTTCCCTACCTTTAGGAATCACTAGTCTACTATTCTACTTTCTACCTCTGTGAAATCAACCTTTTTAGATTTTACATATGTGTAAAAACATTCAGTATTTGTCTTTGTGTGTCTGGCTTATTTCACTTAATGTAATGTCCTCCAGGCACATCCATATTGCCCTGAATGACAGGCTTTTGTTCTTTGTATGGCTCAATAGTATTTCATTATGTAGATGTAACATATTTTCTTTATCCATTCATCTGTTGGTAGACACAAATAGATTCCATATCTTGGCCATTGTGAGTAGTGCTGCAATAAACAGGGGAGTGCAGATAATCTCTTTGACATACTGATTCCCTTTTCTTTGGATATACCCAGAAGTGGGATTCCTGGATTATATGGTAGATCTCTTTGTAGTTTTTTGAGGAACCTACATACCGTTTTCCATAATGGCTGTCCTAATTTACATTCCCACTAACAGCGTATAATAGTTTTTTTCCTCTGCATTTTCACCAGTATTTTTTTTGTTGTTTGAGATGGAGTCTTGCTTTGCTGCCAGACTGGAGTGGAGTGGAGTGATCTCGGCTCACTGCAACCTCCGCCTCCTGGGTTCAGGCAATTCTCCTACCTCAGCCTCCTGAGTAGCTGGGATTACAGGCACATGCCACCATGCCCTGCTAATTTTTTTATTTTTTTTATTTTTAGTAGAGACGGGGTTTCACCATGTTGACCAGGATGGACTCGATCTCTTGACCTCGTGACCCACCCACCTAGGCCTCCCTAAGTGCTGGGATTACAGGCTTGAGCCACCGCGCCTGGCCTTGTTTTTTTTTAATCTTCTTGATAATAGCCGTTCTAACTGGGGTGAGATATCTCATTGTGATTTCGATTTGCATCTCCCTGGTGATTAGTGATGCTGAGTGTTTAAAAAATATATCCATTGGCCATTTGTATGTTTTCTTTTGAGAGATGTGTATTCAGCTCATTTGCCCATTTAAAAATCAAATAATAATAATTATGATTATTATTTTGCTGTTCAGTTGTTTGAGTTCCTTGTGTATTCTGGCTGTCTTGTCAGATAATAGTTTGAAAATGTTTTCTACAATAAAATCTTTGCCCAGAGCAACGTCTGGAAGCATTTTCTTTATGCTTTCTTCTAGTATTTTCATCATTTTGGGTCTTACATATAAGTCTTTAATTTATTTTAATTTTTTATATGGTGAGAGATAAGTGTCTAGTTTCATTTTTCTGCATGCGGATATCTAGTTTCCCTAACACCATTACTGAAGAAACTGTTCCTTTACCAGTGAGTGTTCTTGGCATCTTTGTTGAAAATCAGTTGGCTGTAAACACATAGATTTATTTCTGGGTTCTTATTTTGTTCCATTGAACTATGTGTTTGTTTTCTGTTTGTATGCCAGTACAATGCTGTTTTGGTTGTTATAGCTTTGTAGTATATTTTGAAGCCTGGTAGTATGATGCCTCCAGCTTTGTTCTTTTTGTTCAGGATTGTTTTGGCTATTTGGGGTCATTTGCAGTTCCATACAAATTTTAGGATTTTTTTTTTCTGTTTCTGTGGAGAATGCTATTGGTATTTTGAGAGGAATTGCATTGAATCTGTAGATTGCTTTTGGTTGTATGGTCATTATCACAATATTAATTCTCCCAATCCATGAACATGAAATGTCTTTCCATTTTTTAATGTGCTTTTTAATTTTTTTCATCAATAGAGATCTTTTACTTCCTTGGTTAAATTTATTCCTAGGTGTTTGATCTTTGTGTAACTATTGTGAATGGGATTGCTTTCTTAATTTCTTTCTTGGCTAGCTCATTATTGGTGTATAGAAACACTACTAATTTTGTATGTTTATTTTGTATCCTGAAACTTTGCTGAATTCATTTATCTGTTCTAAGAGTTTTTTTGTGGCACATTCAGGGTTTTCTCTTCTGTCTTTTTTTCTCTTTTTTTATTGAGACTATCATAAAACAGCATCTTTCTTTTTTTTCCTTTTTTTGTTACAGAGACAGAGTTTAGTTTTGTTGCCCAGGCTGGAGTGCAGTGGTGTGCTCATAACTGTCTGTAGCCTTGACCTCCTGTGCTCAAGTGATCCTCCTGCATCAGTTTCCCAAGTAGCTGGGACTACAGGTATGCACCACCACACCCAGCCAATTTAGACAATTTTTTTTATATAGAAATTGAGTCTTTGTTGCCCAGGCTGGTCTCAAACACCTAGGCTCTTGCAGTCCTCCTGCCTCTACCTCCCAAAGTGCTGGGATGACAGGTATGAGCCACCGTGCCTGGCCAAGTTTTTCTATATATAAGATCATGTCTGCAAACAGGGACAGTTTGATTTCCTTCATTCCAATTTGGATACCCTTTATTTTATTTTATTTTTTATCTTGCTTAATTACCCTGTTTAGGACTTCCAGTATTATATTGAATAGAAGTGGTACAAATGGGCATCCTTGTCTTGTTCCAGATCTTACAGGATCTTTTCCCTATTTAGTATGATGCTGCCTGTGAATTTGTCATTTATGGTCTTTATTGGCTGAGGTATGATTCTTCTATACCTAGCTGATCGAGAGCTTTAATTATAAATGAATGTTGAGTTTTAGCAAATGCTTTTTCTGCATCTATTGAGATGATCATATAGTTTTTATCCTTCATTCTATTGATGTGATGTACCACATTTATTGATTTACTTATTCAAATTATCCTTGCATCCCTGGAATGAATTCAGGGGCTGCATGGTAACTTGATCATGGTGAACGATCTTTTAATTGGGCTGCTGGGTTTGGCTTGCTAATGTTTTATTGAGTATTTTGCATCTATGTTCATCAGGGATATTGGCTGATAGCTTTGGTTGTTGTTTCTTTGTCTGGTTTTGGTATCAGGGTAATCTTGGCCTCATAGAATGAGTTTGGAAGAATTCCTTCTTCTGGAAGAGTTTGAAAAGAATTAGTATTAGTTATTTAAATGTTTGTTAGAATTCTGCTGTTAAGCCATTGGGTCCTGGGCTTTTCTTTGATGGGAGACTTTTTATTACAGATTCAATCTTATTACTTGTAATTGGTCTGTTCAGGCTTTTTATTTCTTCTTGAGTCGATCTTGGTAGATTGTATGCATCCAGGAATTTATCCACTTCAACTAGGTTTTCTAATTTGTTGGCATATAGTTGTTTGTAATGATTCTTTGTATTTCTGTGGTATCAGCTGTAATACCTTTTTCATTTTTGATTTTATTTATTTGGATCTTTTCTTTCTTGGTTTGTTTAGCTAATGGTTTGTCCATTTGATTTATGTTTTTAAAAAACAAATTTTCATTTTGTTAATATATTGTAATTTTTGGCCCTAATTTCTCTGTTCTGATCTTTATTATTTCTTTGCTTCTACTAGTTTTGGGGTTGGTTTATGCTTGCTTTTCTAGTTTCTTGAGATGCATTGTTAGGTTTTTTATTTGAACTTTTTCTACTTTTTTGATGTTGGCATTTATTGCTATAAAATTCCCTCTTAACATTGCTTTTGCTGTATCCTGTAGGTTTTGACACATTTTGTTTTTAAAACTTTCTTCTTAATTTCTTCATTGTCTGTTGTTTAATTGCCATGTACTTGTGCAGTTTCAAACGTTCCTGTTATTGATTTTTAGTTTTATTTCATTGCAGTAAGAAAAGATACTTGATATGATTTCAGTTGTTTTACATTTGTTGAGATTTGCTTTGTGGCCAAACATGTGGTCTATCCTGGAGAATGTTCATGTGCTGATGAAAAGAATATGCATTCTGCAGCTGTTGGATGAAATGTTCTGTAAGTGTCTGTTAGGTCCATTTGGCCTAAGTGCTGTTCAAATCCAGTATTGCTTTATTGGTTTTCTGTCTAGATGATTTGTCGAATGCTAAGAGTGAGATGTTGAAGTCCCCAACTATTTTGAATTGGAGTCGTCTCTCCCTTTATTTTATTTTTTAAGAGACAGAATCTCACTTTGTCACCAGGTGGGAATGCAGTGCCATGATCATGGCTCACTGCAGCCTTAAATTCCTGGGCTCAAGTGATTCTTCTGCCTCAGTCTTCCAGGTAGCTGGGACTACAGGTATGTGCCATGGCTTAAAAAATTTTTGTTTCCAGAGATGGGATCCCATTTGCTTCTTTGCCTTTTGGCTAAGATCAAATGTAGAGATGAAGTCTTACTATATTGCCCAGGCTGGACTTGAACACCTGGCCTTAAGTGATCCTCCTGCATCCCAAGTAGTTGAGATTATAGGCACAAGCCTTGATATCTGGCCACTGTCTCTCCCTTTATATCTAATAATATTTGCTTGATATATGTCAGTGCTCCAGTGTTGGGTGCATATATGTTAACAATTATAATACCCTATTATTGAATTGATCCCTTTATCCTTATATAATGACCCTTTTGTCTATTTTTACTGCTTTTGACTTAAAGTCTGTTTCATCTAAGTATAGCTACTTCTGCTTGCTTCTGGTTTCTGTTTGTTCGGAATATCTTTTTCTATCCCTTCACCTTCAGGGTATGTTTCTGGCTGTTTTTAAAGGGTTTTCTTTGTCTCTGAATAGTTTTACTCTGATGTGCCAAAAGTGTGGGTATAGTTTTCTTGTGTTTATTCTACTTGGATGTCTTAGCATTTTCTGAAGATGCGGCTTGATGTTTTTTGTTTTTGGAAAATTCATAGTCAATAATCTCTTCAAATATTACTTTTGCTCTATTTTCTCTCTCTTAAATGTGTTCCAAATCTTTAATTTTTTCTTTTTTTCTCCTTTTGTTTCAGTTTGTATGTTTCCTACTGATATTTTTTAGCTTACTAATTCTTTCTCTAGCTGTGTCTACTCTTCTGTTAAGCCTATCTATCCAGTTCTTAACATTCTGTCAGTTATTGTGTTTTTCAGTTTAACATTTTCTATGTGATTCTTTTAAAAAACAGATCCAAGCTCTCTGTTGAAATTCTCCTCCCAGCACTTTGGGAGGCCGAGGCGGGTGGATCACGAGGTCAAGAGATCAAGACCATCCTGGTCAACATGGTGAAACCCCGTCTCTACTAAAAATACAAAAAATTAGCTGGCTGTGGTGGTGCATGCCTGTAATCCCAGCTACTCGGGAGGCTGAGGCAGGAGAATTGCCTGAACCCAGGAGGTGGAGGTTGCAGTGAGCCGAGATCGCGCCATTGCACTCCAGCCTGGGTAACAAGAGCAAAACTCCATCTCAAAAAAAAGAAAAAAAAAGAAATTCTCCACTTGGAATTAATTTTCTTTAATGTATTAATGACATTTTTAAAAATTATATCTGAGAACTCCCATATATAAGTCACCTAAAAGTGTATTTTTATTATTTAGTCTTTCTCTGGTTTTTGGTCACTTGGTCTTATCTCCTGGTAAGTCTTATCATTTTTTATTAAATGCTGGACATTGTGGATAAGAAATTATAGTACAGATTTGAGGCTCTTGATAACACTTTTTTCCTCCAGAGAGGATTTTCTTTTGTCTTATGGCAGGATCAAATCATCTTAATCTCATCTTGAATCAGGCTGGTTTAAATCTGTGTTTCAGCTTTTGCAATGGCTGATTTATTTGTATATTCTAGAAATAAGATTAGGCCTTATTTTAAAACTATAACTCATCAGAAGCCCCAGTGGAAAGCTGGAGGTGCTTTCTAGATTCCTGTACTTATACCAGCCCGGAACTCTTTTTTTTTTGAGATGGAGTTTCGCTCTTGTTACCAAGGTTGGAGTGCAATGGCGCGATGGCACGATCTCGGCTCACCGCAACCTCCGCCTCCTGGGTTCAGGCAATTCTCCTGCCTCAGCTTCCCGAGTGGTTGGGATTACAGGCACGCGCCACTGTGCCCAGCTGATTTTTTGTCTTTTTAGTAGAGTTGGGGTTTCACCATGTTGACCAGGATGGTCTTGATCTCTTGACCTCGTGATCCACCCACCTCGGCCTCCCAAAGTGCAGGGATTACAGGTGTAAACCACCACGCCCGGCCTCTTTTTTTTTTACCCTGAGTTCTAGGAGACTGCTGAAATCTCTGCTTAGCTTCTGGACCCTTCAGCTATTCGTATGCGAATCTGCAAATTACTTCTGGAGAAAAACGCAGTCAGATGTTTGCTTCACATGAATGCTCTGATCTCTCTTCATGGTCTTGGTTTTCATTTCCCTGTTAACTTTTCTTCATTTTCAAACCAGATTTCCTAGTTGTTTTTGACAAGGAGGTTGGTCTGATATGAATCAATCTACCATATCCAGAAGCAAAATTAAGAGTATGGACTTTGGAATCAAACTTCCAGGATTCAAATCTCAGTTCAAATCATTTACTTGCACTGTGATCATGAGCAAACTATTAACTTTTCTGAGCGTCAGTTTCCAATCACTAAAATGTGGATAATATAGTAGCTACCTTTTAGGGTTGTTGTGATCATTTAGAATGTGTATATGTAAACTTAGAAAAGTGCCCAGAACACTGAGATGCAAAAAATGCTATCTTGGTGTTTGCTATTATTATTTTTACATGACCAAGATTTTTTTGCCAATGATTTTCCATCGTATAATTTCAGTGATGCATCCTTAATGGGCCTCCACTGGCTACTGGATAAAGTCCAAACTCTATAGTTGCTGTTCTCAGCCCTGGTAGAATAGCAGGGTAATCTGTAGTGCTTTTAAAACTCTTGAGACCCCAGCCAAACCAGGCTAATCACATTAGAATTTTTTAGGTAGGATCTAGATAGCAGTATTTCTAAGAGATCCCCAGGTGATTTCAGTGTTGAGCCAACACTGAAAACCTTTGGCTTTCAAGATCACTAACAGTCTAGCCCAACCTATCTTTCTAATGATAATTCTCCCGTATCCCAACATGGGCATTTCCTTGTAGTGAGCCTATCTATTCAAGGTCCAGGCTTCCACCTATATGATTGATGGCTCATGCAAGGCTCAGAGGCTGATGGTTTATCTCTTCTCCCTCCCTTCCATAGTGGTATGGGTGGAGACACAGGTGCGCACCTCAGTCTTTGTCCCTTCCTTCTGGGCTTCATTTTCTTACCATAACTTGAATCTGTTTCATAACAAAGTTCCCATGTTTTCTTTTGTTTTTCTTCCACTCCTCCCTCCAGATCTTTTGCTAAAGACTTTTCACCTTTCCCTGTCCAAGACTAACACATCCTCCATTCCTCACTAGAAACACACTTTTCATCTATTTTCCTAACATTATCAACTGACAGCATGGCATCATAGCTAGTTTCCAATCATAAGGCTGGAGAAACCTGGCCTGCCCCCAGGAATCAACTTTGGACAACGTCATTCTCATTTCTACTTCTGTCTCTTTGGGCTACCTCATCGACTTAGAATATCTCTTTTCCTGCCTCTCTCTCTGCCAATTTGCAGTCAATTCCACCTCGAAGTTTCACTTCTTCTACTAAGCCTATTAAGTGTCTCCAAAGCACACTGTTCTTCCACTTTTCTTGTGCTCCCACTTACCCTGTCTATTCACAATTTTAGCTCCAAATTATATGTTCCAATGGAGGACCTTGAAACACAGTGGAAATTCAATACTTTATAATTCCTTGTTAGACCTACACAAAATTGTCAAAAAAAAAAAAAAAAAAAAAAAAGCCTAAGCTAAAGATTCCCAACACTGATTTTCAGATCATTATCATTATCATTGTTTTTTGCCCTAGAAGTGAGGTGCATGTTGCTAAATGTTAGGGAGTTCTGAGAAACCATGGGTTGGTAGGAATAGGATAGGGAATTGCACTCACTTTCTGCTGCTGCATAACAGATGATCACAACCACAGAGCTGAAAATAACACTGGTTTATTATCTCACAGCTCTGTGGGTCAGAAGTCCAGGTGGCTTGTCTGAGTTCTCTGCTCTGGATCTCACAAGGCCAAAATCAAGATGTTGGCCAGGCTGGGATCTTCTTGGAGGCTTTGGGGAAGAATCCACTTCCAACCTCATTCAGGTTGTTGGCAGATTCAGTTTCTAGTAACTGTGGGGCTGAGGTCCCCGTCTTATTGCTGGCTAGGGGGTCACTCTCAGTTTACTGAGGCCACGCTCAGATCCTTCCATGTGGCCCCCTTAATGTCAGCAGAGAATTCCCCATGCATCGAAGTCTTCTGACTTCTTTTTCTGCTACCAGCTGGAGAAAATTCTCTGCTTTTAACTTGCATTATTGGGTTAAGCCCCACCAGCTGATATCTCTATCTTAAAGTCTACTAACTTGAGTCTTTAATTATACCTGAAAAATTCTGGCTGGGTGTGGTGGCTCACACCTGTAATCCCAGCACTTTGGGAGGCCAACGTGGGTGGATTGCTTGAGCCCAGGAGTTTGAGATCAGCCTGGGCAATGTGATGAAACCCCATCTCTACAAAAATACAAAAATAGTCGGGCATAGTGGTATGTGCTTGTAGTCCCAGCTACTCAGGAGGCTGGCTTAAGGTAGGAGAATGGCTTGAGCTAGGAGGCTGAGGTTTCAGTAAGCTGAGATTGTGCTACTGCACTCCAGTCTGGGCAACAGAGTAAGACCCCGTCTTAAAAAAAATTCTCCATAGCAGTACCTAGATTAGTGTTTGGTTGAATAACCAGGGTATGGGAGTCTTGGGGAACCATTTTTAGAATTTTGCCAACCACAGGACGGATGAAGCAGAAAGTCAGAGAACCAGTAAGGAAAGGACCACTTAGATTCAGTGGACCAGTGCCTTGCAGAGCAAAAAGCACCCTTCAGGATCACCTAGTCCTGCCCTTTTATTCTCTGGATTGGAACATCAATACTTAGAGAGGGGAAGGGAATTTATAATTAATCTTCTACACATCCACCCTGGGCCAGATGTTGTACTAAATGCTTATGGAGAATATAGAGACAAATAAGACTCAGCATCTGCCCTTAGGATTTTATTACCCATGCATCCAAGGTCCATGGAAGTTTTTCTTAAGAAAATAGCTTATTTAATCCTTGGAAATTATAGGGTTGTGTGCTAGAAATGGACCTCACAGATCAAATGTTCCAGTGTTTCTTAAGAATAGGAACAGTGACTTTAGGCGACATGTAGACCAACATTTTAAATTGTAATAATAATGTCTTTATGTTAATGTTACCTTCTATTTATGGCAAACGATGCTATTTTTTCTGCATTACAATGACATAAACTTTCCTTTTGCCTTCTTCCTTTTTTCCTTTTTTCAACTTGCATTTACGGATCACTTACTCTAGAAGACAACAGAAGATGAAGGCTTTGGCTCTGGGAAAAGAGTTACCTGGATACTGATCCTGATGTCTCTCACTTAAACTCTCCAAGTCTTACTTTCTCATCAGCTAGGTACGGAGAAATAGACTATTTAAGTGATATCATGTGTGTAAAGTGCTTAACAGAGGGCTCGTGACATTGTAAGGATCTAATAGATAGTAGCAATTATAAAATTAATGCTTTTCTGATCCAAGGGGAAGGGGGATTTCTGCTAAGGAAAGCTGGGCCTTGTTTCCCTGACCTTTATGGGGAGTGGCAGCAGTTCTCAGGGCCCTCATCCCTCTCCTCGCCTCTCCTGGGCCTTTTGAGAGCCTGGGAAGGTGCCTGAGATCTGGCACTTTCTGGAAAGAGAGGAAATGGATGAAGAAAGTAAAGAAAACATGGCCAGGTCCAATGGTTCATGCCTGTAATCTTAGCACTTTGGGAGGCTGAGGCTGAGGTCAGGAGTTTGAGACCAGCCTGACCAACATGGAGAAACCCCGTCTCTACTAAAAATACAACAATTAGCTGGGTGTGGTGGCGCATGTCTGTAATCCCAGCTACTCGGGAGGCTGAGGCAGGAGAATCGCTTTTACCTGGGAGGTGGAGGTTGCGGTGAGCCAAGATCCTGCCATTGCACTCCAGCCTTGGCGACAGAGCAAGACTCCTTCTAAAAAAAAATTAAAAAAGTAAAGGAAATAGTGGAGGGTGTCACCATAGGGACATACCTGTGGGAATTACTAATTTTTTGGAGAAGCAACAAACTCAGATTGGGCACCAGCAGTGTGCCCTGCTTTGAGAATCTTGCAGGGAATGAGGCAGCTGCATCTGTTCGCATTCTGTCTCTATCCTAAGCCTCCTCCCAAGTCACTCTCGCTCATGGCCTCCTCTCTCTTTCAACAACTACCAGAGGAGTTGTTGAAATATCTCCTGTCTAAAAAATCTTTGTGCTTTCTTTGGAGAAGAAAGGTGTTTCTCTCTTTTATTAAAAAAAGGACTACAGGTGTCTGTCAGAGGAGGGAAAAGGGGGCTAGAGTCTGGCATTCAGATGGCCAGAGGCACCGAGTTACTTGGCAGTAGGTGAGAGGGGAGCTTCAGAAAGAAGATGGGAGAGCCTCCAAAACACTTATTAGCTCATCAAGTGTCACCTGGGCTAACCTCTGAATGTTTAGGTGTTTAGTGTATGCCACCAATGGTAGATGTTCAAGGTGCTCTGCCACGCTGGTGGGGGAAATATTTTGTTGAGAGCTAAAGAGAGAGCCCAATCATAGCTGCCTATTCTGCCAACACACAGGGTGGGGGTGTCTGCCAGCGAGGAGCTGAGCCACCTGTGCCTTGGTGTTGCCCTCAGAGAGGCAGAGCTCCTGGGGAAAGGAGTTCGTGGGGCAAAGGCGAATGGTATGGTAGAAACCAGTTTTATACATTTTGATATTTTGATGCTATTTAAGTTATGAAGACATAGCCTATAGGTCTTCTGCCAGCCAACCATTGATTCATCGTGGGAAATGTGTTGTGAGACTTTCTGGTTCAGAATGTCTTTCTGGGCTACCTCTCTGCTTAGACTAGGGAGTGAAAACAAGTGACATAGATTTAAAATAATAACAGTCAACTGGGCACAGTGGCTCATGCCTGTAATCCCAGCAGTTTGGGAGGAAAGGCGGATGGATTGCTTGAGCCCAGGAGTTTGAGACCAGCCAGAGCCACATGGCAAAACCCCATCTACAACAAATACAAACAATAGCTGTGTATGGTGGTGTGCACCTATAGTCGCAGCTACTCAGAACACTGAGGTGGGAAGATTGCTTGAAAGGGGGTGGGAGGGTCGAGGCTGCAATGAGCTGTGATTACACCACTGCATTCCAGCCTGGGCAATAGAGCAAGACCCTGTTTCAATGTAACAAACAACAACAGCAATAATAATAATAGTCATACACAGTGCAGTGAAACAAGACTTTTAATGCTACTCGTGGGAGTATAAATTTGTCTGATCTTTCTTGAGGCATTTGGGCAGTATCAAAAGTCTTAAAAATAGTAATACACTTTATCCCAGCAATTCCACTTCTATGAATGTGTTCTGAGAAAATAGTTGGACAAGTGCACAAAGATCAGGATATAATGAAAACCATGATAGTTTTTTTCATAATCATGAACAACTGAAAACAACCAAAACATCCAGCAATTACAGATTGGCTAATAAATGAAGGTAACTTCATAGAATACTACACATCTATTGAAAAGGACACTGCTGCTGTCTCATATATACATTGAAAAAGAGTTTTGCTCTTGTTGCCCAGGCTGGAGTGCAATGGCACAATTTCAGCTCACTGCAACCTCCACGTCCCAGGTTCAAGCGATTCCCTTGCCTCAGCCTCCTGAGTAGCTGGGATTACAGGCATGCGCCACCACGCCCAGTTAATTTTTTTGTATTTTTAGTAGAGATGGGGTTTCTCCATGTTGGTCAGGCTGGTTTCGAACCCCTGATCTCGGGTGATCTGCCCACCTCAGACTCCCAAAGTGCTGGGATTACAGGCATGAGTTGCCACACCTGGTCTCATATTTATTGATAGGGAAAGATGGTTGTAATATTTTACGTGAGAAGAGCAGATTCCAGGACAGTATATTCATTATGATTCTATTTTTATAGATAAAAGTAGATAAATTTCTCTATTTCAGTAATTTTTTTACTCCCAGAACATTATTTCATTAAAGGTGACATTTGCTGAGACTGCACCACGTGGACACCCAGTTTTATGCAGGTTGCGCTCCAGATTATAGTGCCATGTTGTGAAGGTTACAGGTAGAGTGTATACATTACTTTGCATAGTGTCTGATACATAGTAGTGCTTAGAGGTAGAAAAAGTAAGTATTGCTTTTGGAAACTCTCTTAAAGTTGTAAAGAGACTGCTCCTCTAGAACAGTTTGGTATTTTAATAGAATAGAAACTATGATATAAAAATTGGCAAAGTTTGGTATCCTGAATACATGTAGTTGATATGGTCTCAACCTTGAAAAAAATAGTACATGTGCCCATAAGAAAAGTCTGTAAAAATATAAATAAAAATTTTAATAGTGTTTGAGTAATGCTGGATCATGAGTAACTTTTATTTTTTTGCTGTAACCCACCAGCCTCATGTGAATAGAACAGACAAATCTTCATTTCTGTCCTTCTTTTCACTCAAAGTTTTTTAAAAAAGACTTTAATTACTGATATAAAGTAAAACAATTACTCGTGGGTTGGCTGAGAATTGCTAGAAATTAATAAATAGTTTGGAAATATTTAGTAAATTCTAATTACTTAGCAAAAGTAATTAAAATATTTATAAGCGAACACCCATAAAACACCACCAAGCAAATACATTACTCAATAAATGGTTTAATTAGTATTTCATTACTAGAAATTAATCTCAGTAACGAAACATTACTACAAATTACATGTAGGATAGACAACTTATTTTACTGCTATTAATGATTTCAATTACTAAGTTTGTTCAAGCCTAATTCCTTCTCACTTCCCCCACTCCCTCCTCCCGCTCCCACCCAGGCAAGTTCCCACACACTGGGTCTGAATTAGGATGTTTGGGGCTGGTCTGGAACTGCATTGTTGGGAATCCCAGGCACACAGATTAACAATTTCCCTTGGCTTATTTCTTAGTTGTCTTGCTGAAATACAGGCCCTGGGTGCCTCTTAATCAGCTAGAATCAAACTCCAGGGGCTGGTGGGCTTCTTACTGCAGATATACTCTCCTCTAGAGTCTTCTAAATCACTTGGCTGCAAGGATCTATTCCTTCCCCTCTCCTGTGCCAAGGTCTTTCTGGCACTGGCTTGTATCCCTGGTCCACATGCCAGGCTGGGTGGGTGGGGGTGGGCCGGGCTACCACCAAGTCATCAGAGGGCATTATTATGCAGATTGGAGAAAGCAGCCTCTTCCTCCAGACACAGGTGGTCACACACCAGGGTGGATTTCAGCTCTCACTTGTTTTTTTTTGGTCAGGTTCCCCAAGAAACAGATTTGGGATTTGCATGCAGGAGTCTTATTGGGGAATGCTTTCAGGTAGTTCCCATATAGGAACTACCACCCCCGTCTGAGAGCGAGGACTGTACAGGAGAAGTTGAACGACTCCATGGAAAGCTCGGAAGCTGAGATAATTCTTCCAGAATGTCTTGGATTGAGACAAGGGGTGGGGATCATGATTTCAGATTGTTACTCACACAGTCATGGGTTCCATCATCTGGCAGGTGACAGCCCGCTGACCACAACCAAGGAGGATTTAACAGGGGATTTCCTTACTAGTAACAAGTAAAGTGCACACTAGGGATAGTTCCCAGAGCAGTGCCTCCCAGGGGTGACCTGTGGGTGTGGTTTGCTGCTGGCATAGCTTTGATGTTGCATGAGTTGTTCCAGTGTTCTGCTGGCGCTGGGTGATGTGTCGCTTTTGGTGTTAGAGTGAACTCTTACTGGGTCTTCTGCTTAGACCATAAGCTCCAGGAGGGCGGGCTCATGTCTCATGGTATCCCCAGACCTTAGCCCAGTTCATGGCTCCATTAGTATTTGCTGATTGAATGTATAAGACTAAAGACAGGCCGGGCGCGGTGGCTCAAGCCTGTAATCCCAGCACTTTGGGAGGCCGAGGCGGGTGGATCACGAGGTCAAGAGATCAAGACCATCCTGGTCAACATGGTGAAACCCCGTCTCTACTAAAAATACAAAAAATTAGCTGGCCATGGCGCGTGCCTGTAATCCCAGCTACTCAGGAGGCTGAGGCAGGAGAATTGCCTGAACCCAGGAGGCGGAGGTTGCAGTGAGCCGAGATCGCGCTATTGCACTCCAGCCTGGGTAACAAGAGCGAAACTCCGTCTCAAAAAAAAAAAAAAAAAGTCTAAAGACAAATGGTCACTTAAATACATTAATGTAAACTTGATACACTTGACAAAGGGAAACAGAATCTGATCTAATCTGAGGGGTCAGGGGAGGCTTTTCCAAAGAAGTGACGCTTGAGCTGAGACCCAAGGACTGGGTAAGAGTGAACCAGGTAAAATGAGGGGAGGGGGTTGCTTCCCAAGCCTCCCTGGGACGGGCGTTTGGCTCTGCCAC